CGGGGCTCCCCGTGGTGCTGTCACCGCGGGAGGTGACAGGAGGAGGGCTCCGGGGGCCTGGCCGGGGCAGCGCTGCCTTCTGCTGGAGGCTGTGGGTGACAGCGAAGGGCAGAGGGAGCGTGCGGCTCGCAGGTTTGGGAAATGTACCGGCAGCGGCAGAGCAGGGCTGCAGCATCCCTCCTCCAGCGGGGTGGGAGCCATCAGCTCTCTGCGCCCACCACAGCAACAGAAGCTGCTTCTGGCCTCAGCTGAGGCCTGGGGTGAATCTGTCAGATGGCAGCTGGTGGGAGGGGTGCTGGGAAACAGGGTTTGTTTCTTGTTGACATCCAGGGTAGCTGCTTTAGAAGCCGTTCAGTGCTCAGCTACAGCACCGATCACCCAGGGTGGTGTCTTAGGCGTTACTAGATCAGATGGGGTTTAGATTTATTTAATGGGGAGAAGCGTGTGACATCAAATCAATCAACGGTGCTTCAATATTTGTAACTGCTTCATGAAAGAAAAGGTTTGTGAGGTTTTATGATACAGCAGTTTGGTTTTCTAAATGATTAAAATGCAGCAAGTACACTGAAGCTTGTAACTTAAATTAGTTCCCTTCAGCCAGTGCCAGCTGGTGTCTGCTTATGTCATCTGTAAGGTTTGAGACTCCCGTGAGAGGGAACGGTCAGTGCTGATGTAAAGGAACGGCATGACTGCGCCTGCTTCCAGCAAACTGCTTGCAGATGGTTTGCAAGCATGGAATAATTTATTGAAGAAATTCATAAGTTATCTTGAATGAGAGATTTACCTGATTGGTTTCCATGTTAGCAAGCAGAAGATTGCATTGAGGGAATAAGTGTACGTTATTCTCTCAGCTGTAATTATAAACCAATTCTGGTTTTAAGTCCCCAAGTTCATGATCCCGTGGAGATGTATGCATCTACTTGGGTTGATTCAGTGGTGTTTGTACTTAAACACACGGGTATGTCAACAGTCGTGTTGCAGCCTGTGTATTTTTTTCTTTTTTGATTATAGATCAACAAACCTGAGAAGCTGGACAAGCCAGAGAGCTGTGATAATGTCAAGGTTGTTGTTCGGTGCCGGCCTCTTAATGAACGAGAGAAAGCTACGGGCTACAAAATGGCAGTCAACGTGGATGAAATGAGAGGAACTATAACTGTTCATAAAACAGACTCATCCAATGAGCCTCCCAAGACATTTACGTTTGACACAGTGTTTGGACCAGAGAGTAAACAGCTGGATGTCTATAATTTAACTGCGAGACCTATAATTGACTCTGTCCTAGAAGGGTACAATGGTAAGTCCCACCTCCTGTTCCTTGCATTCTGCTGATCTTATTTAAGGGAGCTTCACCTTCTGAGGGCTATAGCCCTGTATTGTTTCTGTTGTGGATTCTGACTGAAAATAGCCTGAAGGTACGTGCTGCTCTGAGCACTCAGTGGTTGTACCTACTGTGATCATTAACAGTGGGAGATGGTGATGAACAAGACCCGGCCGAGGTCAGTTAGCTGTGTGTTTTTATTCTGTATCTTCTGTTTGCGAAAGGTATGAAAGATACACACTTTATCTCATTATCAGAATTCTCGGCGGCTCTTCACTGTACAGTTTCAGTACCCAGGTAGCTGCTGTGGTCCTGCAGTAACTAGGTATGCATACCAGACTTGTGCATATAACTGCTGCATTTTCTCCTCTAAACTTTGCTGGTTTAAACTAAGATGACTAGTTAAACACATCTGCCCTGCCCCACAGATAATCTGTTGCTTCCTACAGCTGGGAAGAGTATGGCCATGATTTGTGTGTGTCTGTTATGCATGTGAATGTATTATGTAAAGGAAAGCAGATGCTAGTGAGGAAGCAAATTGCTGCTTTCCATAACAGTATAAGCAACAACAGATTACAATTTGTAAAGCTTTGTAAAATGCCTCATAAGCTCTTGTGCTAACACACCCAGATTTCAGCTGATTATAATTCAGCTTTTCTGACCTGTATTGTCAGTGGCTTGACAATCAAAATTTGAGTTTTCAGCAGTGCTAGGCTGAGCTTAAGAACCAGTATATTTCTGGAATACCAGAGTCTGGGATCTCAGTAAATTTTCTGCAAGTCCTCCTGTGCAGGCTGATTATGTAGTCTGAATTGTAGCTGCTTCTGCAGGTTTAGAACTGGGCTTGTGCTGTGGCCTATGTTTTAGAAGCCTCACACTGTTTCTGCTGTGGCTTAGAGCACTAGCAATAGTTGGTTGTGCAGTTGGTATATAATGATCTTCCTCTAATTGACCACTTATTAATTGGGTTTGCCTTAATTATTTGTGTATGAGACCTAAGTGTACTAGCACTCCATACTTTAATCACTCTGCACAGTTAAAACAAGCTGACTTTTTCTTAAATATCTTGGAGACTGGATGAAGCAGTGTCTGAGCCCTGTTTGCTGTGGTCCTGGCCTTGTACAGTATCTACTGGAGTGGGGGGGAATACTTGAGCTCCATAAAAATAGAGGTCTTTAGTGCTATCAGGCTAAGAAGGGATGAAGTAAAACTGTAGTTAGCAACTTCTTAGAGTTCATATATCTTCTTATCCTTCAGGTACTATTTTTGCATATGGGCAGACTGGAACAGGCAAAACTTTCACCATGGAAGGGGTCCGAGCAGTTCCTGAGCTTAGAGGCATCATTCCCAATTCCTTTGCCCATATATTTGGTCACATTGCCAAGGCAGAGGGAGATACAAGGTAAACAGCTTCTCTTTGGTGCTTCTGTCTTTTGTGTGTCCATCTATAGTAGGAGCCTGACCTTGGCAATTGCAACTGAAATGGTGCCTCTGTCCCTTGCTGAAAGACTCCTACTGAGGCAGTTCATGATGGGGTAGCAGGATTGTGTTGTTACATCAGCATTTTCTTTGCATTCTGTGATTGTGTTTGTTGGACTTCAACAAATATCTTGCTGAGAAAGCTACCCAACTGTTTGTCTTCAGGTTTTTAGTTCGTGTGTCTTACCTGGAAATTTACAATGAAGAAGTGCGGGACCTGCTAGGAAAAGACCAGACCCAGAGGTTAGAGGTGAGCCTGCTGTTCTGAATGTGGTGTTTGTTTTGAATCAGTGAGCAATATTGTATTTTATAAGACCAGAGAAGCACTTGAAGGGATGTGGGAGGTTGGGCGCTGCAGCACAGGTACTGTTTGCTGTAAGATGCAGTAGCTGGTTATCACTACTGACATCTCTGAATCTTTTCCACTTGCTCAGTTGCATAGTGAGAAACTGGCTGTTCCACCTGAGTCAGTTTTGTGCCTGCAGTTCTACCCCAAAGGCCCCTTGGCAGTCTTTCTAGGAATTGAGACTGAGATCTGAAGTTACTCTTTATTTGCCACTAGGGGAAACCAGTAGAATATTGTCCTGCATGAATCTTCATTCCTTAGCTGCTCTGATTCTGAGTGCTGGGAGTGTTTTATGTGCAAACCAGAACCTGGAGGAGTAAATGACAGTACTGTTACAGTACCACTGAAAATTGCTGTTGGGAATCTCCTAAGGATGCTCCATCTAAACTGTTTCTCTCTTAGGTTAAAGAGAGACCTGATGTGGGAGTTTATATCAAAGACCTTTCAGCTTATGTTGTAAACAATGCAGATGATATGGACAGAATCATGACTCTGGGCCACAAAAACCGTACGTAGCCTTGCTGTGGACAGGTTTATAGCTCAGATCGAAGGTCTGGTTTTGAGACCACAGTAAGACATCCTAGTCCTAACGCTGGAATGATTGTTCAGCTGAGCAGAGCAAAAGGGGCACCTCCTCCCAAACTTTTAGGACCTGAAGTTTTGACTACTGTTGCTCTTGGCATGGATTGCTGTGTTTTTATTTCTCAAAATACAGCTGTTTTCGGGGGTCAGCTGGGAATGCCTTAGGCTGCTGATGTTTGTAGGCTTAAAGAAACAGATGAGAACTGCTGCTGCTCTTGGGATGGGAATCTGTGGTTGGCTTAGAGCTACAGCAGGCTGTAACACTTCTAGTCCAGATTGGAGATGTGCTGCAACTTTAGTGCCCAATAATGCAGTTTGGTGCTGAGTCTGAGCACTCCTTTTCCATTTTCTGAAAAACAGGGTTGGGTAAAGGGGTGGGGATAAGTCTCCTTTGGGAGCAGGAAGAGTGTTAGAGGAGCATGTGATTCCTTCTGAAGATGACATTGCTTTTTTTCTATTAAAAGGTTCTGTTGGTGCCACAAACATGAATGAGCACAGCTCTCGTTCACACGCCATCTTCACTATCACTATTGAGTGCAGTGAGAAAGGAGTTGATGGAAACATGCACGTGCGCATGGGCAAACTGCATCTCGTTGATCTTGCTGTAAGTAGGACCAGCCAGGTCTGCCATAACGCATGGTGGGCGTTGCTGCTCGTGTGTACTGTTGAAGGCACAGTAAATGGTGTGTCCCATGTTTCACAGCTAAAGTCCAGACTTCTGTTTGATATCTGACTTCCGTGAAGTGTTCACTCAGGGCCTTAAACCAGAGGTGTACCAGGAAGAGTCTTTAGTGTAGCTAGAGCCTGTCCCAGTAAAAGTGCTCCCTTCCTTCTGTAAATTAGTCATAACTGGATAAACTACCCTGGAAAGAGCTCTCTGGACAGCAGTCTTTGCAAGAGGGGTGGTGGTTTTTTTTTGGAGGGTTGTGATCATGCAGTTAATCGTTTGCAGGTTCCCTCTCTCTGTCACTCACTTCCAACCAATGTAATTGTGCTGGTAAAGTGTGTCTTTAGCCTAACTTTACACTGGAGTATCTTTCCTTGGAGAAGATGCAGGAGAGGGGAGACTAAAGGTATTCAGTGTCTGCATGTTAACATTATTTATGTGATCTATGTTTAGGTTGCTCTATGAGACTCTAAAATAATTGCAGTGTTGCTTTTCTCCCTTGATCTGCTGATAGGAAAGGCTGGAGATGGTGCTTAGGAGCTTCAGCTGAGGTGCCTCGTAACTACTGTTTGCTTCTCATATTTTTGTTCCTGGGGACTAAATCTACATTTTCCCAGCTGCATTACTTTGAGCAATCCAGAATTTGCTATCACTGAAAGCTTTGGTTAAGACCTGTTTGATGTGTCTCTTTAACAATATCTGAGGTACTTAGCCAGGTTCTCTAATAATGGGTGAGGTGGTTAGTGATGTGGCTGCTAGCAAGACTTCAGGTGTAGCAAATCCTGTTTGGAGAAGGGGATGTTTTGGAGGATTTGTTGTAACTCCTGCTTCTGCTTCCCGTTTTATTTCCAGGGTTCTGAAAGACAGGCAAAAACTGGAGCCACAGGGCAGCGACTGAAGGAAGCTACTAAGATCAACCTCTCTCTTTCCACACTGGGGAATGTAATCTCTGCACTGGTGGATGGCAAGAGCACCCATGTACCCTACCGTAACTCCAAACTTACACGGCTCCTTCAGGATTCTCTTGGGGGCAACTCCAAAACCATGATGGTAAGCTGAGAGCTGCCCTTTCCAGTGCCAGCGATCAAGCTGCATTTTTACAGGGATAACATAGGAACTTTGCCATGAGAACAGCCTGGCGTTTACCTCTTTATTTCAGAGTTTGTTGCAGCTTAGAGAACCTTTTATGTGCACCTTTTTTGATCTTTTCTCTTTGCCTCTGTACAGATGAGGTTCTAAACATAGTGCACATGTACACACATGCATAAGATCAAGCAGAAGCTGTGCTTCAGTAGTTAAATGCAGCTTTGGTGTAGAAGCAGCAGGAAAGCTTGTCAAAGAGTGGCAGTGTGAGACTGCCAGAGCTGGGGACAGGACCCTGTGAAAAGACTTGTTCTGGGCTGTGACACTCTGTCCTCCAGTAACTCGGTCTTCTATGTGTTGCAGTGTGCAAACATTGGTCCAGCAGACTACAACTACGATGAGACTATCAGCACTCTCAGGTATGCAAACCGAGCCAAGAACATAAAGAACAAGGCCAGGATTAATGAAGATCCCAAGGATGCTTTGCTTCGCCAGTTTCAAAAAGAAATTGAAGAGCTTAAGAAAAAACTGGAAGAAGGTGAGATTCCCCTTCCTGCTGGTGTTTCTCTCTATACTGATGGTCATTCCATCTGAGTGTGAACATTCTTTGCTATTTGAAGATGTGTCACACAAATTCAGCTGGTCTGTGTCCTGGTTTTGGTTGCCCTGCTGGGTTCCAGGAGAGGTGGTGGCTCAGCGGTGGCCTGATGGTGGCTGGACTGTCCCCACTAGGTGGCACTTGGCACCCGGGTAAGGGATGGCTTCTGGACTGGGTGATGTGTGCCTGGCCTTGCCTGGTGAGCAGGAGGGCTCTGGGCACTGCCAGGAATTAAAATGTACAGTAACAAAAAGTCAAATATTTTCCCTGTTTGAGGAGGAGGGATGCATTTTTTTGGGAGTAAAATGAACCAGATTTGTGGAGCTGGAACTGGGGCTGACTTTGAAACACTGTGTAGAGAAACAAACTTCTTTAAGCCCTGTAACTTCGTGGCCTTGTGACACTGAGTCCATCAACATGGAAGGACACTGCCAGAGGGATGCTTGCTGAACAGTGACCTTGGCGCAACTCTCTCCAGAGAGATGCTCACAGAACAGCTGGAGCAGTATCTCCAACATGGCTTGCTGTGTGGAGTCTGCCCCATACAGGAGAAGCAGGGAATTGTCAGTAGCTCTTCAAGGGTTGGGAGCTGGGTGTAGCTGTTTCATCCTTCATAGGCTGAGAGTGGCTTCTTAAATTTTGGTCTCTAAGCTACAGAACAAACAGCCTTATGTTTGCTAACGTTACTGGGAGGCTAGGATGTCAAATGTTGGATTCTGTTCAGTTTGGTTTCCAAACTCAGCCTGAAATGTCTGTTATGTCTGCAGCAGCAACAGTGATAAACATTTGTGAAACAGGACATTTTTCTCAATTAAGAGCCATCTAGTGTCAAGTATGCAGGTGTCTGATTAAGTAGCAAGCCTGTGTGAACTTTGTTCATCTGACCATTTTCCCTTCCATCTGAAATGGAAGAGAAAGTCTGGGGAGATCCTGCTAGGAAAAATTTGTAGATTAATGCTTCAGCAGTGTGAGGAGATTTTATTTCCCATGAAAAGCACCCACTTGAGCTTTAACATATATACGCTGACTTCACAGCATTAAATTACTTATCTTGATTTTCATTAAGTTTCCTGAGCCATGGCAAACTGCCTGTGTGCTCAACAATTCATGACTTCTGCAGGTGCTCATAAGTTGCTGTTGGACACTGCTGGGTTTGAATGAACGCTGCTGTCACAGTAACAATCTGATATGAGGTGAAAGAAAGTGCATCAAAAAGCCCATTCTCTTCTGTTCTAGGGGAAGAGATATCTGGTTCCGAGAGCAGTGATTCTGAAGAGGAGGATGAAGATGATGATGGGGAGATTGGAGAGGATGGGGAGAAGCGGAAGAAACGACGGGGTAAGGCAGTAGATTCCTGACGGTGCCACCAATCTCCTCTTATCCAGCAGTTGGTGTCAGAAACTGTAGCCAGAGCCAGGCGGGGAAAAGTGGAGTTGTAGAGCTGCCCTACTGCCGCTGCAATTATCATGCCTCTCCTAGAAACGAAGCTACATGATGCCGTCTCCGTAGATGGACAGCTCTGAACCCGTGTAGTATCTGCTTCCACTTGGGTAGTTGTGCTTGTGGTAACATCCTCTTTTGTGGTGGCTCCTGGGTTGCCGCAAGGTGGCTGTGTATGGCTTGTGACTGGTGGTGTGGAACTTCCCCTGCTTGCAGAGGTGGGAGGAAGAAAGCACCAGAGATCAATGGTAGGCAGATGTGGGTTTTTATAACCATGGGAATGGTTGGAGGGGGATTTTGGCTGTGGCTTAGGCAAAGGATTCGTCTGTCTTATGGATGTTCAGTAACTTGACACTTCTGGTGTCCTATTTTATGTTGATTAAGGGAAAAAACTTGACCTTTGGGTGTCTTTGTGCTAGCTTAAAAGCTGAATGGGAGCTGCACATCCCTTGTTTGGGAGCACTCTGGAAATCCCTTAGTGAAGTTTGCTTTTTCCTACACCAGTGTTAAACATCTAAACCCCAAGGGTAACCTAGAATTGCAGGTCACTCTGTTCCATGCGATACTGGCTTCCAGGGAGCCTGCTGTGCCCCAAGAACCTCTGATGTTTCTTCATGGGGAGTAGAGAAGTCAAGCCCAGTGCTTCGCCTTGACTTCCAGCTTCTCTAGTAAACTAATTTTGACAATCAAACTGCCTTCCTGTCCTGAAGCACCCACATCTGTTTAAACATTCCTGTTAAAGGATTCCTGCTTTAGGTACACTCTCTTTATTTTGGTATCTGTCAAAGTAGAGTCATAAATGACCTTGTCATGCCTTTGGTGATAGTTGTAACAACTTTTACTTCACTTTTCACCTTTTGGTAATTTCTAGAAGCAAAAAGATTGACCACTGTCTCCACCAAGAACCAAATCCTGCCCAAATCTCCTCCCAAGAGATGACCTTCAAAATCCAGCTTGAAAGGAGTAGAGGGCAAATAACTGTGACTTACTCAACTTCCAAAGGAGCTACGCTAGTTAAGTTCCCGAAGTAAGGGTGCTGCTCACAGGAGCGCACACAGTAACTGTCCCTGTGTGAGCTGATTCTGCCTTCTACAGGGGAAAGTGCACACTGCCGTGAGCATAAGACTGGAAAGGGCTCCTGGTCACTGAATCCTCTGCTACTGCAGATACCCACAGCCTTCTCCACTCTGGTCTGGTGTTCTGTGCTGTTGTTGCTTGAAATGGGAGCTGCCTTGGCATGTTGTTTTAAGTTGTAGGCTGGTTCAGATGGGTTTAACTGAAGTGTCTTTCTGAGCATGCTGTTTTGTGCTGGGAAATGGTGGCTTTGCAGGCTGAGTCTGGGAGGGATCCTAGCAAATGCTTCCGAATGGGAACTTGTGCCTTTTTAAACTAGGTTGCTGGCCCTTCTGGGCTTCTTTCTTTTAGAACTAACTTCCCATCTGCATGTTTCTTCCTCTCTGGGTTTTTCTGTGGGACGCATTTCTGTTTTCCAGGCAGTAGCAGCAGCAGTAGTTCAGACTCCACATGCTCTGTCATAGAGAAACCTCTGGATAAGTCCTTCACTAGTGAGTGGGAGCTCTTCAGTCCTTTAAGCTTTGGCCTTTCCATGATCTGCACACTCCATTTTGCAATGCTGCACTCTTCCCCGCTATGTCCGTTGGAAAGATAAACCAAAATTTTTAACTCTGCTAAAGCATGCCTTTCCTTTGCTGCTTCCATGCTTGAAACAGTTGTTCAGTGTGCACACTGTCAGCCAGATATGCGAGAGAATAGGAAGCAATTTAGTATCTTGTATGAACAAGATTTAAAGATAATTGAGAACTAATAGGTTAAAAAAGGAATTTCTGTGTTAAACAGTCCCTCTAAAATATCAGGAAAAAGTCTGAGCTAACTTTTTTAATGGGAGTGCTACAATACGAGTTCATAAAGGATAGCTAGACAGGTGAAATGGTCTGTGCAATGTATATTGCACTCTGCCTTCTCAAAATTAGTTTTGGAGGAAATGAGTGGAGCAGGCAACAATCAAGCAACACAAAGTTTATACTTGCAAGGAAAATGTGGTAATGTGTGGTTGATTGGCTTCAATTTAGCAGATACTTAAAAAAAAATCCTCAGTGGTAGTTGGGATTTTTTTAACTGCCCCATGACATTAAGTTCTTGGTCACTGTGGGACTCAGTTCAGATGAAGAAGGGATCTATCTAGGTTTTGGTCTAGCAGTGAGGGAGGTCTGCTCTGCTCCTGGTCAGAGAGGGCTCTGTCCCTTTGATAACCCTACAGCCAATTAGTGATGACTGAAGAAATAAATCCCATCTCAGGACTTGGCTCACAGGGACTTCACCCACTGTTGTGGTTGTGCTATATAGATGCGGTCCACTCTCCTCCCTGTGAGGAGAGTCTGGAAAACATTGTTATAGAATTGATTTAGATTTATACTACTAGTGGAAAGCGTCAGCTCAAAGTGTGGTAGGGGGTTAAGAAGGGCCACGACCTAAGGGAGACCTTTAGTGGTTCATATGCTGGTAGGCCTGGAAATCTGCTTGCTTCAAGCTTCCTCTTTCAAAGCTTGCTTACAACCTGAATATTTTATTTGGATGAGGACAGTTAATAGCAAACCACTGATGTGACAGCAGATGGATGAGTCCATCTCCTGCAAGTTTGGAGACATCTCTGTTGCGGAAGTTGCCCTGGGCTTTTGCTGGCATGGATAAGTGTGGCTCTGCGTGGTTTGGGGTATTAACTGTCCTCAAACGTGGCCCTTTTGCATGTGGTGTCTTTCATTATCCCTTTCCTGTCCTGCCTTTTTTTGCTGTACTTGCTTGAATAACCAAAACCGGCTCTATACCTCTATGGAAGCATCAGTTACTGCAAATTAACCCACTGATAACCTGTGTAATGAAATGGAGAAACCTTGCGCTGAGACTCCCCATGTGCAACTGTCACATATCTTGCAAAGAATTGGCTTGGAAACTTGGTTAAAAGTTCGTTCTAAGTCTTCTGTATGCTAACATTTTATAGGTAATATCACAGAATTGGCTGTCTTGGTGTTGGGGGGGGAAGCATTAAGTCTCTTATTCAAGAAGCAATCTATGCCGTTTAACTGTTTCTTAGGGCATGATTTTTGCGGCAGGCTCATAATGTTCCATTTAGATTCTGCATTGCATTGAAGGGGCAGAAGAATACCAGAGTGAGCTGAAGACTATCCTGGATGTGCAAAGCACTCTGAAGTACAGAAACTCTCTCTGCTTTAGCATAAAATCATGATGCATAATGTTTGCTCTAATGGAGTTTCGTAGTGATGATTATTCTGTTTTCTACTCTAGAAACATGCATAGAAAATTAATGCTTGTTCTGATGATCTTTGTCCAGAATGATCAAAGCAATAATTTATTTTCTTTCCTCTTTTTATGCATATGCTGCCTTTCTGCGATTTGCTTTCTACTTCCTCTTAATGCAAGATCAAGCAGGTTGGTGTAATTGTTTTCCGCCTCCTTGTAATACAATTGCAGAGCTTGTGAAAGTTAACCTTTTTCTCCTAAACTGAGAACATATAGGGCTGTGTACTAACAGTAAGAAGCCTTTATCTGGCTTATCTCTTTTTATATGATGATCTCTGTATAGCGCTTTCAGAAAGCTTCTTACTCAGACTAATCAGTGAGATTTTTTCACCGCAGATCCAGAAGTAAGTGCTTATCTGATTCCTGAGTTTAGCAGATGGAAACTAAGACATTGTTTGCTGTAGTGCTTGAAGTCCTTACTTTGCCACAAAGCTAATTATGTTCTCTTGTGTGCATGAACAAACGTGTACTGATGTGTATGTATGTGCGTGCAAGTTTACAAATACAGTGCATTTTGGCTGTCTGCTAGAGGTCATAAATACATGGAAATAAAGCTGAATGCCATGAAGATTGGAGGGAAGGGAAGCCTTTTATTGAACAACTTTCTTGAGCACATTCTGACCGTATGCGCTATGTTACTGTGAAAACAATCCTTTGACAGTTGATGGCTTCTGTTAGTTTCTAGGCATCTGGATTCTACAAGGCAGGGGTGTGTAGTCTGGAGAAGAGCAAACAAGAAAATGAAGGATTTGCTTGTGAATAAAGGGAGATTTAGGACTTGTGGGAGACCTGTGGATTTGAGGAAATGCACGTAGGCAGGGCTCTCTCTTGCTCCAAAGGACCCCCAAGGATCTGTGTGTTCACCTGCCTTAGGCACTCTTGGGATTACAATGAAAGTTGACTCAAGACTTGTGGAGTGACTTCCAAGAGCAGCAGCCTCACAGTTTGTTTCAGAATCCCAGGTGTTTGGGTCCAGCCCTTCAGGCTGAGAGGTTCAGTGAGTTGCTATGGCCACCTCCTTTGTAACCCTCTGAAATGTACCTGTTTGCTGTAACAGTAGGGATGTTGTAAAGGTACCGTTGATAAGTCACAGCAAACCTCAGTACTTTTGAACCTGTGGGTAGTCATTGTTACATAAATTGAATACCATCAAAAAGTTTCCTTAATTGCCTGGTTTTTCTCATAGGGCAGTTCTGAATTTCCTTAGTCTCTCTGTATTTTCATAGTAATACATTCTTTAAATGTGTGTGCTGACTTTCCAATAGGTAACCCCATAATGAGGGCAGTGAGCAGGGGTGTGGTGGGGATGCTCATCTGAAATTTGAATGTAACTCTTGGTAGCTCAGCTCTTGGAGCTGTAAGTCAAGGCAGTCTGCTTTCCTTCATTTGGCCTAATCTACATAGTTAGAACATTGGAGCTTCCAGTTCAGACTTCTCTTTAGGCAGTGTTTCTTCTCCAAGTGTTCTTTGTGTGTTTTCTTTTTTGAGGGCATTATGTGTTAGTTATATAGTGTTCCTCCTCTGTAGGAACTGGTGACAACTGGTCAATGTTAAAATAGGATTTAAAGACTTAGTTGTGACCAGCTTGGAGCTGACATCTAGTTAAATTAATTTTTGTTAAATACAGGTATTGAATCTGAATTTGGAAAAAATGCTGTGATACAGAGGGTGTCTTGTTTTTCTGTGAACTAATTTGTTTTCCAATCTCTTCCAAAGGCAAAAAGAAAGTTTCCCCTGATAAGATGGTAGAGATGCAAGCAAAGATTGAAGAGGAGAGAAAAGCTCTTGAAACTAAGCTTGACATGGAAGAGGAAGAAAGAAATAAAGCCAGAGCTGAATTGGAGAAGAGAGAAAAAGACTTGCTTAAAGCTCAGTGAGTATCCTGCTCTAAGCAGTTTGTGTGGTTGTGTGGGTTTTTTCCTTCTTTACTCACAACTCAGTCATAGATACCTGGAGATGCATGGTGAGGTGCCTGCCAAACTTTGTACAAACTGAACATCAGCTCTTGCTGTTATCAAAGTGAAAGAGGAGCTTACTCTGCTTTCAGAGTTCAGAGCAGATGGAAGAGACAAGCTTTTTCCATTTTCCACTTCTTTTCTCTTTTAACTTTATCTAGTTGTGCTAGATAGCCTAGAAACAAATGAATCCTCCAAACCCTGGAGAGCAGTACTGCTGTACTGCTTGGTCATCGGGCAGTAGCTGTGTAGCAAGCCAGGTTTCTTACAGCACACTGTCACAAGCATGTTTTAGGTGTAGGTGTTCTCCACTCTGGAGCTGAAAAGATGCTAAGGTTTTACTGGCCCATGTTGGAGGCTGCTTCAACAGCAGCCAGCATTGCAGGTTTGCATCTCAGCTGCCCTGCCTTGATCTCTGTTCACTTGCTTCCATTTCTGCAGTGCCTCCTGGCCATCATTGTGCTGGCAGAGCCCTCGGGGAGGGGGTGCTTTGGGTAGTCTGGTAATATCACTGGTGCCTTGCAGCCCCTCACAGAGGGGACTTGTGGCAGGAAAGACTTGTCTACTGACCTGGTTTTGCTTCTGAGAAAGCAACGAGAGCTGGAGCTCGGGAACTCCCTGCGTTCGCTTGCACTGCCTCACCCCTGCTGAAACCTTTGGCGGCAAGACAAGTTTTTCCAGCCCTGTGAGTGCTGTCTGGGCTGTAAAACCGAGCTGGACCTGCTGCCTTGCTAGCACAGTAGGATAGGAAGTTTTTCAATTACCTGTCTCTCTAGACAAGAGCACCAGTCCCTGTTGGAGAAACTCTCTGCATTGGAGAAGAAGGTGATAGTGGGAGGAGTGGACTTGCTGGCAAAAGCAGAGGAGCAAGAGAAGCTTCTAGAAGAATCAAATATGGAGCTGGAAGAAAGAAGGAAGAGAGCAGAACAGCTTCGCAAGGAGCTTGAGGAGAAGGAGGTGGGGTTATTTATACGCAGTAGCTGCCTGAAAACAGCAATGACAGGACGCCCCATGTTGCGTGCCATGGCATTGCTCACGAGGATGAAATGTGGCTCTACTCCGAAAGCAGAGCAGGAGCTAACTGCTTCGGAGGCCACGTGTTGGCAGTGCGACTGCTGTGGGGCTGAGCCCAGGTCTCTGTGCCCATGGCAAATGCTTTGTTTTGTCCAAGTAGTTTCTCCTCTTGTTCATACTGTTGCAGATAGTTTCTTTGATTATGTTAATGTCTGGATCATGTTAATGTATGAATATCTGTGCTAAATGTTGCATACAGCAAGAACGCTTGGACATCGAAGAGAAGTACACCAGCCTCCAGGAGGAAGCACAGGGGAAAACCAAAAAGCTGAAGAAAGTTTGGACCATGCTTATGGCTGCAAAATCAGAGGTTAGTGTCTGAAGTCCTCAACCTGTGATGATGTGAGAGACTGGCTGGGAAGGGTAAGCTATCAGCATGCTAACACTGGAGAAAGTGCTGTATGTTTAGAAATATCCTTCTTTGCTCTCTGTTTGACTCCTGTAATTCAAAAGATCTAATTGAGACTGGTGTCAGAGCTGCACAGAGGCATGTAGTAGAGCTTTTCCCCAAGCCAGGCTGAGGGGGTATGTGTGAGACTGAGATATTCAGAACTTCAAGGAAAAAAACTTGGTTATTTCTGAAACAAAATAGAAGTTGTTTGCTGGCAGCCCAATCTCCTGCTTTGCAGCAGCCCAGATGCTCCTCTGCTCTTAGCTGTCTGTCCTTTCTGCATGTTGCCTTCAGTCACCCCATCAGTTGTATCCTTTGGCTGGTATCTAGAGTTCCTGTTTCATGAAAAGTGCATTTTTATCTTTGAGATCAGAGGTTTTCCTTGAAATCTTGCCAGAGATACAACCTGTCTGCACGATCTTCATCTGCTCTTAGCTGGTGCAGAGCTTGGATTAGCAGAAGGCCAGTTTCGTTTTTATGAAACTGAGAATTTAATGCTATTTTCGGCTGTCTCTGAGGTGGAGCATTTCAGAGGGTTTATTCTTCAGAGATAAATATTCTAGTACTTATAACCGGAGTTGGCTTTTGTTTCCCAAAAACCTCGTATAGGCAGAAGACTGTTCTTTTAGGTTGTTAACATGTTTTAAGCAAGCTCTGATGCCTCTCAAACACCTGGTTTGTTTTCAGATGGCAGATCTGCAACAAGAGCATCAGAGAGAGATTGAAGGATTGCTGGAGAATATTCGGCAGCTGAGCAGGGAACTTCGTCTCCAGATGCTTATCATAGACAACTTCATTCCTCAGGACTACCAGGTAAAGACAAAGAACCTAAGCCGGTGGTGTAGGATTGTGCTAGGCACGCTGAGCTCCCTAATTTTATTCTGCCCAACACACAGAATGGGTTGGATTCTTTTCTCTTTGTGCAGTATTGGCAGTGAACTGGCCAACACTTGTCTGTGAAGTTGTGGCACAAATGAGTTGGTGGGTATTGCCGTGAGCCTTTGATTGCTGGGGCTCAGCTGAGTGGCTGCAGCTTGGTTACATTCATGTGTTTGTGCCATTCTCTGGATTGTTAGAACCAGCTGATGTTAAAGGAGGAGAAGATGCTTTTGTCAAGTGACTCTTGTAACCTGGTGGATTTCTGCTTGAAATTCAATTGGAAGAAGACCAGAGTTAGTGGATGTGTTTGGCTCCAAAAGCAGCTCAATAACGAATGCAGAGTGGCTTTGGTGTATCTCTCAGGGGTTTGGATAACTTTGTCTAGAGCTCCATGGTTATGGAATCTGTTTCAGGGAAGCAGTGCATAATGTGATGGGTTTTAGGAGGATATACTAATATTGGTTCTCTTGCAGCATATTTTCCTAATTTTTTTTAAAACAAATCACATTCACAATGTATTTAACTGGTATATTCACTGTGTGCCCATGCTCTGGGTCTGTTCAAAACCTCTTTTTTTCCACTGTGCGTGAAGTTGTGCTTGCTAATGTCTGATACTAATACAAAGAAGTAGGACTGAACTTGAAACTCTTCACTTCTTGTTTTCTTTGTGACCCCCAGTGTTCAGAAAATTCATTATGAGCTGAAATATGATGCATGCTATTTAGTAGAAAATATAAAAGCTATTTCCCATAATCTTTCATTTTTCCCATTTGTAGCCATGTGTGTTTATTGCTATCCTGGTGGCCCTGGTGTAATGGGAAGCCGATGCTTTAGTGGGAACTCCAGTGCCTACACTTGAGGAGTGGTATCTTTCTCTTCTGCAGTATTCAGAGTGTAAATAGATGTGTTTGACCATGGTATGGCTGTCCTGATAAAAACAACTTGGGATGGTCATGACTGTTCTTAAGCAGCTTTTCCAGGCCTTTAGGGATGTATGTTCAAAAAAAAAAAAAGCATCTGGAGTGTAGATCGTGTGAGTCTAACAGTTCCTGTTTTAACTTCTTTCTAGGAAATGATTGAAAACTATGTTCACTGGAATGAAGACATTGGAGAATGGCAGCTGGTAAGCTAGCTGACTGGCTGCTGTGCACGTTGATGTTAGCACAAGCTTCTGAGGAGTTTAATTGAGCCCAGAAGTAAATTGATAAAGCTGTGGTGGGTTTTACTGTGTGCAGTTGATTTTACTAACACACCTTTCTTTCTTTAAGAAATGTGTTGCGTATACAGGAAACAACATGAGGAAGCAGACGCCTGTCCTGGATAAAAAAGAAAAAGATGTGAGTGACTCTTTATAAGCATGTATTGGAATGGCTTAGGTCTAAGTTCTGCTGCCTGTGCCTGTCACTGCATATTTTAGGGAAACTGTCCAATTTCGGTTGTATTTTGTTTTGAGGAGATGTGTCTTTCTGGTGTTAAAAAGCACTGTTGATCAGTGTATAAATTGATTCTGATGTTTTGGTTTTGTGGTTGTTGTTGGTTTTTTTTTTTAGCCCTTTGAAGTGGACCTTTCCCACGTTTACTTAGCTTACACTGAAGAAAGCTTGAGGCAATCTCTGATGAAGCTGGAGAGGCCGAGGACTTCAAAAGGAAGATCCAGGCCCAAGATGGGTAGAAGGTGAAGAACTTTGGACTCTGTATGTAATGGGGGATTTACCCAGGGGAAGGCTTAACTTTGTGCATGCAAGCTTACATAAGTCTTCAAACATATGCTTAATGAGAAGACAAAGTGCTAAAATTTTGCACAGTATGAAGTTTACTGGTGCCAAGTGTGACAGAACCAAGCTGAAATCTCTCTACTATGGTAAAATCTTGTCCAGAGAGCCTTGTCTGGGGATTTTTCTGATGCCCTTTTTCTGCATTCCTGTCTTGCAGCTTCTTGCTTTATTTTGCTGTGTTCAGTTTAAGATCTGACACGCTGACAGTGTGTATACTGGAAAGTAACGTGCTGCTGGGGGAGATTTCAGCATGGGTTTTCTCGGTTATTTTTGTTTGGTTTTGACAAATGCTTGTGGAACAGGAACATGGTGTAGTTTTGACTTGAAATGTGGCTGGTCCCTGTCTTTCTTAGACAGCATAATGATATACGTATGGTGTTGTTTTTCCCTTTTTTCTTTCTGTTCTCCAAACAGAAAACGTTCAGCAAAACCAGGAGCCGTCATTGACTCTCTGCTGCAGTAGGTGTGACCTGGTCAGAATTACCATAAAAATCAGTGAGTGTATAAGATTTGTCCAGAATATGGAATTCAAGAGATGGCACAGTTTGGCTATAAAATCCATGCCTTGCTGGTATGGAGCTTTATTTAAAAAAAAAATGTATTTTTCCTTAGTTGCCTGTATATTGTATGTTATATTAACATAATATTAAACTGGTATATATGATGGTTGTGAAACTCCATGTGTTAAACGTGTTGTGCAGGGAAACAGCTGTTGGCAGTCCTTGTTGAAATGTATAGAAAATAAGGGTTCTAGATGTGTGTTTAAGTGCTAGACGTGTTAGCTCGAAACGGTTGATAAAAGTCTGAAATTTAAGGCTGGTAAATCTGATTTATGCCCTGCTTTGCACATAACTGGCAGCTTTCACTGTTGTCCTCTGTTGCACTGATCTGTGTTGGAATGTGGTTGCTGCAAACCCTTGAATTAAGAGCATCAAACCCTTTTATTTAAATATTCCTCACTCTGGCTTTTAGCCTGATCGTGTTGTGTATCAAATACACAGTCCTCTTTCCTTCCTTTGCTGTCTTGCTGTACACAGAAAGTAGGTAGGTAGGGGAAACGTGAACTACAAAAGTCTGAGACTTTTGGGAAGGGACCACGCTGTGTTTAAGTGCAACAGGAAACAAGTGTGTCTGAGCAGTGCTTTTATTTTTGTCTGTTTGCGTGTGATCCGCTGGCACTGTGGAGAGTGAGGCCTTTTGATGCAAAGGCAAAAAGAGCTGCTTTTTTTTTTTCTCCTCCTTTTAAGGCTGTGTTGCAGCATTGCTTTGGCTGCTTTTTATGCTTCTGAGCTGGAATTGTTTAAATGTAGGTGAATTGTTCTGTGATCTGAACAGCAGAGGTTATTTACAGGGAATGCTGAAACACTGGGACTCAGCTTCAGCCTTGGGGCTGTGGGTGTTGTGGCACTGTTTTGTTATCCCTAGATACAGGGGTGCTGGACTAGTGCTCTAAACTGAGGATGAATTTGACTGTCCTATATTGAAACAGGCATAAATTGCCCAATTTTCCCAGAACAGTAACATCCCCTGAGATAGCTACTGCTGTTCGTGTTCCTATGTAGACTGTATCATCTCAGGCTGTGCTCTGAGAGGGGGGGGGGGGAAAAAAATTCTGGTCTCTGATAATACCCATTTATTTGTGGTGGCTGCTCTTTCTTTGATGTTCATGCTGCTAACAGACACACATCACTTTAATACATTGCTTTTGTGTCACAGAAAATGCATCTCCTTTGGGGTCTGTGTGCTTTGTAACTCGTGCTGGGGCATGTCAGCTGCACGCATCTTCACAGTTCCCGTGCCGGGCAGGGGCTGAGTGTTACCTCCAGGTTTAAAAGCTGTGATTGCTAGTAGGAGAAATCCTTAGGAGTCCTTAAGCGTGACAAAGAATGAGAAGGTTCCGTAGGTGTCCTGAGTTCTTGCTGGTAGCCACGTTGGCAATTACCAGAATGTTCTTGTGAAGTACTTAGAGTAGTTGAAGGCTGATATCCCTTTCTCGCTGTCGTGATGCTTCGCTGGATGTACCTTGTGCTCTGGCAGGATCTGTAATAGTTCAAACTGGCCTTGTTTTGCTCTGGAGATGTGTTCAGTGCTGTTCTAAAGGAGTTTTAAGCTTTTTCCCTGTTTTTTTTCCAAACACATTCTTCAGGATCATGACCTAGGAGAAGAACACGCTGCCCTCTGTTTTGGGGAGGGAGGGAGCATCACCTGAGATCATACAAGACTTGGCTTTGTCACCTGGGTTTGTACAAGATACAGATACAAACACTGGTGGTTGTTTTCTCTAGCCCAGCATTTGAAGAGGCAAATACTCCATTTTTGTCTGATCTAAGCTGTAGTTGGTTTTGCCCTTGAAGAGCTGACCTTACTGTGTGCTTGGGTAGAGCTGGCTTCTCTGTGTTACAGACTGAAAGTGGCTCAAACACTGTTTTGTCTTGGCCTTGCTCGGTCCAAGCAGGTAGGTGTGTAGTTCTGGCCTCTGCTAGTTCTCAGAACCAGGGATAGCTGTTGTATTTCCCTTTGTGCTGAGGTTTGTTGAATGATCTGTTTTTAAGGGAGTTTCTCCTGAACTGTGCTTTCAAAAAGACCATTGAAACTTCTTTTACCTGACGGACATCAGTGGTTTAAAGATGCTGCTGTGAACCACGACACTGCATTTAAAGTATTTAAAACAACCATAAAGGCATATGCTTCCACTGAATTAATGTTACAGTCCTGTTGCTGAAGACAAGAGTACTCTACCTGTATGTGAGCCTCAGGGCAGAGAAAATGCTTAAGTAATTGCTTGCACATCTTTAATTCGCAGGTTGGAGAAACTGGTTGTGATCTCCTGTCACAGGGACTTGGAGAACAGGTTACCTGCTCTCACAGGAGGACTTTTGTTTCTAGTGGAACACTGCCATGGTTGTGATGGTCTGTCCACTTGGCTTACCTCCGAACTGAGGGGTTTTGTTGAAGTTCTGGGAACTTGCTTTTGAAACCCGGAAGTCTGTCTGGCAGGTTTGCCCTATGGGCCCTCTGTAGCCCCAGACAATCTGTGAACGTCTCACGGGTCCACAGTGTGTTTTAATGAGGAAGGAGTCTGGTTTGTATGGGGTTTAAAAGCTTAATCCAGCCCTTCTCATCCCAGGTCAGTATGTGCTCTATAGGATCTATCCTAAACCACATTACCATAACATATCTATTGTGTGTGCTCATCTTGCTACCAGGAGATTCCCCTCATTCCAGAACATCCACCTTAACATTGAGGTTTTTGCCGCTTTATGTTGTTTAATGTTGTGTAAATGAATTATTTCATATTTAACTTGCTCCTGATCCTTTCTTTAAGAGGAGGGGAAGATGGTCCTTAGTGCCTTTCACTGACTTACACTGTCTGCACATGTCCAGCTCCCACCCTTCTCAGTGGTTCTGCTTAGCCAGTCATGTATATAGGAGAAACTGCTCCTCTGTTTGTATAATTTCCTATTTATTGGTTTTCTAACTCGGTTTATTTCTGATTATTCTTTGTTTTATGATTAAAATTTATTCATTACACTGTATATATCAGTATTGTGTCCCTGGAGCATGTTCATACCATAAAATAAAATTCTCGATTCCTAGTTCCATTTCTGTGCATGGTTCTCAAATAACTTTTTACAGACAGTATCTTTCTAACTCAGGAGATGTGTCAGGGTAGCTGAAATAGTCTGTACGGCTCTGTGATACACAGCGCTTCCCTGAGAAGGTAGAAAGTGAGTTTGGGGTGTGTGGGGACCCCCATTGCCAAGCCCCAGGGCGGTGGGCAACAAGCTCTTATGGAAGAGGTGGACAGGGCAGAACAAGATGATGCTTTGCAAGACTCCAGAGGAGATCAGTGGGATGAGGCCAGGGTCTGGGTCACGAGGTATGCCACAGTGAGCTGCTGAGCCCCTTGTTGGAGCCTATCCTCTGCCGGGGCTGTCCGGAGAGCCCTGTGGAGCCAGAGCCCTGTGAGAGCCGCTGCTTGTCCCCTGAAGTGGTTGGTGCTGGGTGTGTTCTGCATCATGCACACCACACAGGTGGTACAGCTGATGGAGAGAAGGCTTATCCTGCTGTTCTGGCTTCAGGGGGCCTCATACTGCGTGGCCAGCCTGTCACACCCTGTGTTTGTGCAGATGGGATGAATTCACCTGCAGCAAGGGGAAATGTTTGACTTTGTTTCCTTTGCTGCAGAAACTGTTGGTCTGTGCTGCGTTTCTTCCTCGGGAAAGCACTTCAGCCTGCTCCGTGCAGCAGGTGGCAGGCTTTTTGGGGTCTAACTGTGCAGCTCCCCTGAGTGCTGTGATGCACAAACCAAACCCTGCCCAGTCAGGGGACTTTCCAAGTAAGTTGTGAAAGGGTAGACACCTAAACACCTGCATGACTCCACTCCCCTGGAGCTGCCACCTTCCAAGGCACAAACATGCTCCCCTGCTCTCCAGTGTCTGGCCAAGAAACATCTTAGGCAATGCCAGCAAATATAGTCCAAAAATACATTTATTTATAGAAATATTATAAATAATTTTTTTAAAATAGAGTGTCATAGTTTAAAATAATTAAAAATACCCAAGCAAAAAACCCCCCAACTTTGTTTTTTCACTTCAAACTCCTGTCTTTTACTAATCGTTGGAGGACTTTGCGTAAATCCATGAAGAAAGCATTCAGAGAAGTTGTGTTCCCTGCTGCCACGGGACACGGTGCCTGTAAAAGGAAAAAATGTCTGTTAGGATGCTTTCTGGGGAGGGAGATGGTCCTCCAGCTGTGTCTTGGCTGGGGGAAAGGATCAAAGCAGCTGGTGCCGGAAGGCTCTGGGCTGGCCAGCCCCTGTGCAGCAGCGAAGGGAGAGCCTGGGCTGACCTGGTGTTCTGGGCTCTGCCTTCGGAGCAGAGCCAGCAGGTTGACGTAAATCCCCTCCAGGTGCATGTGGCAGCTCCTGCCCTCCCAGGCGATGGTGGTGGCTTTGCATAAGACTTCCATGTCATCATCTTCCTGGAAAAGGATGCACAGGGCTTTTTTTAGAAACCCTTTTGTACACTCATGGCTTCATTAGCAGCAGGTTAAAACAGTGCAAATAAAACATTTCTGTTCCAAAGCACAGCTACAGCTGCCAGAGCCTCACGACCCCAGTGCACACAGGGCTCTGTCCCTGTCGAGGACAAGGGTGCCATCAGCTGCTGGGGAGTTTTGGCGGAGTTTGGCACAGCAGCCAGCACCAGCGTGCTCAGAGCATTGTGCTCCCGGGGCAAAGATGGGAATAAGCGCCAGGCTTGTCCTCATGCCCCCGGCCAGGTCTGCAGGCACTGGGGTGTGCAGCATCCCTCCCTCTGCTGGGTGTGGGGCTGGGACCCCCCGAGGAGATGCTCAGCCCCCTGTGAGATGCTGCTGCACCTCTCGGCTTCCTGGGCATCAGCTTTCTGTGAAAACAGGAACTCCTGGGCTGGGGAGCTTGGCTTAGGCAGCAATTTTCAGAACAGAAAGAGGTTTTATTATCTGCTATTGACATCTCCTGCTCACTGAGGAGCCTTCCCCTGGCTCAAGAGGGATAATGTGCGTAACCCGCTCTGGGGATGCTGTGGGTGCGTGTGGGTGGCCGAGACAGTGACACACTGCTCCAAGGGAAGAGGTTCCTCTCTTCCTTTCTGAAAAGCTCGAAAACCCT